AATCATTAAAATTTATCATTATTATATAACGGACAATTACAATTTTGTAATAACTTGATAAATTTAATGATAAATTAGTACAAAATAATCATTAAAATTTATCATTATTATATAACGGACAATTACAATTTTGTAATAACTTGATAAATTTAATGATTATTTTATAACATTTGACTCTTTAGTGACTAAAAAGATCATTTCAACATAATTGAGTGACTATTTAATGTAATTTATCTTTAATTTAGGGTAAGCTATTAGTTTTGGTCCGTATCTAAACTTTAATTCTTTTTCAAAACTATACTTAATGTTTAGTTTTATTTTATTTTAATATCCGTCGTTAAAAACTTAACGCGTTTAATACATAAACTATCATTTTTGGTCCGTTTAAACTTTACGCTAAGTTTTGAACGATGTGTTAAAAAGAAACAAAAACTAAAGTTCTTAATGGCATATGTTAAAATAAAATAAAAAATAAATTTTATGTATGATTTTAAAAAAATTAAAAATTTACGTATTAAAAAAAGACCAAAACTAAGAATTTAAGTATTAAAGGAGAAATTTACTCTTAATTTTTAGTTCAATAATTGTATAGGAAGGAAAGACGACAATAATACAGCTAAAAGTCCCACTAACAAAGTCCGGTTGTGTTCTTCACTTTGTCTTGTAGCAAAAAAAAAAAAAACGAAACGCATGTTGTTGTGGTGTAGCTAATCAAAATACCACAACCATGATAACTAAGCCCACTTCTCCTTCGTCTCTGTCCTTGTCGTCGTCTTCTTCGAACCAATCACAATTATCTCTCCTTTTATTGAACCAATCTGCAACTTGAAACCCATCTTTATATTCCCCCATTTCTTGTTGCTCGGGCAAACCAAGGAAGGAAGCTTTCGAGTTTTGGAGTGAAACACTGAGAATCAGCACAGAAACATAGTATTTGCTGTATGTCAGTGGACGGCTGCAGTGTCAAATACTACGGTGGATACTGTGCGGTTGCTAACCCTTTGCAATGGCCTCAACTCAGGAAAAAGCGACGCCTTGTTGCGTTCCCAAAACCAACGACAACATCAACAAGAAGAAGAAGACGTCTTCTTCTTCTACTGAGGTTTTGGAGAACTGGAGTCTTGCTGTCGGTTCTGGGGCTGGTCCGGTTGAGGATTCCATCCCCAAGAAAGCTTCCATGGCTGCCATGATCCGCCCTGCCGAGACCATCGAGGATCCTCCTGCTACTAAGACCACCACCAGCAAAGGTTTAAACTTTATACTTCTTCTATTCTTGGTTTTTCCTAGTTTTATATTGTTCATTTGTTCTTATAATATTTCCTTGATGTCGTGTTTTCATGTGTACGAGGCCGTTTTTGATTTGCTTGATTTGTTTATTTTATATGCTACACCGAATCTTGAAAAATGTTTCCCATGTCAATCATGCTTGCTGGAAATATTCTGATTATATACATGTACGTACGTATGTATGTATGTATATTTTTTTGCACAGGAATTTCAATCATGACAAGGGCTCAGACCAGCCATCCTTTGGATCCACTGTCGGCTGCTGAAATCTCGGTGGCCGTGGCAACTGTAAGGGCGGCCGGAGCAACCCCTGAGGTAACTAAAAGAAAGATGAAGCTATGTTTGTCTTTAATTGTTGCTTTAATCTTTATGTTATGTTTTTGTGTTCCATGAATGGAATGGATTTGTTTGTTTGTTTGTTTGTTTAGGTGAGAGATGGCATGCGTTTTATTGAAGTAGTTTTGGTGGAACCGGATAAGCATGTTGTTGCATTGGCGGATGCATATTTCTTCCCTCCTTTCCAGCCTTCATTACTCCCTAGGACGAAGCGGGGACCCGTGATTCCGAGTAAACTCCCTCCGCGGAGGGCAAGGCTCGTGGTTTACAACAAAAGGTCCAACGAGACGAGCATCTGGATTGTTGAATTGTCTGAAGTTCATGCTGCAACTCGAGGAGGTCACCATAGGGGCAAACTCATTTTGTCTAATGTTGTTCCGGATGTCCAGCCTCCCATGGTAAATATATGTCTCGAATTTCATTTTATCGTTCTCATCAAGATATATTCCCCTGCTTTAGTATACCGATATCATGTCATCTACCATCGGATTTTGTTGTTCTCGAGTCCAGCTTATGTGTTTGTTTATTGATGTCCTTCTCGAATTATAGGATGCTATGGAGTATGCTGAATGTGAGGCTGTTGTTAAGGACTTTCCTCCGTTTCAAGAGGCAATGAAGAAGAGGGGCATTGAGGATATGGATCTTGTGATGGTTGATACCTGGTAAGCGTTCGTATATCGATTCTTATACTTTGCTGTTCTATATAATCATCCTATGCAGGTTCCTTACCTTTCTGCTTTTTCTATAGGTGTGTCGGATATTATAGCAAAGCCGATGCCCCTAGCCGGAGACTTGCTAAACCACTCATCTTCTGCAGAACCGAGAGTGACTGCCCCATGGAAAATGGTTACGCTCGTCCGGTCGAGGGAATCCATGTCCTTGTTGACATGCAAAATATGGTGGTAATTGAATTCGAAGACCGAAAACTTGTTCCCCTTCCACCAGCTGACCCTTTAAGAAACTACACTGCTGGTGAAACACGAGGTGGTGTCGATCGGAGTGACGTGAAACCGCTACAAATTATTCAACCTGAAGGTCCCAGTTTTCGTATTAATGGGAATTTCATTGCATGGCAGAAGGTACTTGCTTGTGAAACAAGTTATAACTTATATTAGTTCAAGATGTTCTAATATATTATTTTTGATTTCAGTGGAATTTCCGAATTGGTTTCACTCCTAGGGAGGGTCTGGTAATCCATTCCGTGGCTTACATCGATGGCAGTCGTGGTCGGAGGCCCGTGGCTCATCGATTAAGTTTCGTTGAAATGGTTGTTCCTTACGGAGATCCAAATAATCCACATTATATGAAGAATGCATTTGATGCAGGAGAAGATGGGCTGGGTAAAAATGCACATTCTCTTAAGAAGGTTTGGCAGTTCTTTTCGGGTTTCCGCTTCCATGTCGAGTTTCATTTTGAGATTCCATTTCTTTAGTTTAAGTTGACATTTTCCCTGCTTTGCCTTTATTTCCTGTAGGGTTGTGATTGCTTGGGATATATCAAGTACTTTGATGCTCATTTTACGAATTTCACCGGAGGTGTTGAAACGATCGAGAATTGTGTCTGTTTGCACGAAGAGGATCATGGTATCTTATGGAAGCATCAAGATTGGAGGACAGGGTTAGCAGAAGTCCGCCGGTCAAGGAGGCTGACGGTGTCGTTCATATGCACCGTGGCTAATTACGAATATGGATTTTTCTGGCACTTCTACCAGGCAAGTTGGTGTCTGCAATGATTTTGTTTGCTTTGCACAAATTGGCTCTTGTGCACGTCTTTAAACTACTTAAAATTTCAATGATGGATGCTTGTTATAGGATGGTAAAATCGAAGCCGAGGTTAAACTGACTGGAATTCTCAGTTTAGGAGCTTTGCAGCCTGGTGAAACACGGAAATACGGCACAACCATTGCTCCCGGGTTATATGCACCTGTTCATCAACACTTTTTCGTGGCACGCATGGACATGGCAGTCGACTGTAAGCCCGGTGAAGCATTTAATCAAGTAAGTCGTGTTATTGTCTCGTTATCATGGTTTCGTTTTGCTCCTTCATTCATGCAAATATGTATATACATTCTTATAGGTTGTTGAAGTGAATCTTAAAGTTGAAGAACCAGGGAAGGATAACGTTCATAATAATGCATTCTATGCTGAAGAAGAACTACTTAGGTCCGAACTGCAAGCAATGCGTGACTGTAATCCATTGACTGCACGCCACTGGATCGTAAGCGATTTTTGACACTTCGTTTTCATTGTCTAATCCCGATGACCTGATCCCTGAACCGTACTTTATTTCTTCAATATTAGATTAGGAACACGAGAAATGTCAACAGGACCGGGCAGCTAACAGGATTCAAACTGGTACCTGGTTCGAATTGTCTGCCATTGGCCGGCTCTGAGGCAAAATTCCTTCGAAGAGCTGCTTTCTTGAAACATAATCTTTGGGTTACACCCTATGCTCCTGAAGAAATGTACCCGGGAGGAGAGTTCCCCAATCAAAATCCGCGTGTTAGTGAAGGATTAGCTACTTGGGTTAAGCAGAATCGTTCGTTAGAAGAAGCCGATATAGTTCTGTGGTTAGTTTAAGAAACAAACTTCCTCTAAGGACTATACTGATTATTTTTGTTCGTATTTAACTATGAATCGTGTCGAGTAACTTTATTCGCATTCATAGGCATCTCTGGTATGTATCATCTACGTTGTTTACATCTTGTATTAGGTATGTCTTTGGAGTAACACATGTTCCCCGCCTCGAAGACTGGCCTGTCATGCCGGTGGAGCACATCGGCTTTATGCTTATGGTATGTACTCTGATCCTTATAAAGTTCACTCCGTGCATGCGTTTAATGCTTTTGCTTCACTAGTTTTCAGACTCTGACATGATATATAAACTCGTAAAGTCGTTCACCGTGTTATCTAATTTGATGATGTTGTCAACACATTGTCCCCTTTAGACAACATTGACCGTCGTGAATAGGTTCGCGTGTTAAATAAAATGCTCGAAACAAATAGCCCAGATCTTCATGTAGTGTAATACATTACCGTGCATTTCAAGCCAGTTCAGTTTACATTCTCCTTTAGCAGCCTTGGTTGACAAAAGCATGATTTTTTAAAGTTAATCCTTGCTATCTGCAATGCAGCCGCACGGCTTCTTCAATTGCTCACCGGCGATTGATGTTCCTCCGAGTGCTACAGATCTGGAGCTCAAGGACAACGACATCGCGACAAAGCCTATCCAAAATGTGATGATCGCGAAGCTTTGAATTGATCTCTGCAGTCTGCAAAATCTTCATCAAACATCAAATGCTTGAGCTATTGGCCTAAAATTATTAAATATGAATGTTTGTATTTGTTTGTCTCCCGTATGAACTATGAATGCTTGTATTTGTTTGCCCCCGTATGAACTGTCCTTGAAGCTTTGTAATATATTTAAACTCGTGTGTGATCATTATGTAACTCTAAATAATTGAATCGATTAATAATTGCGAATTTTCATTCTCGTTTCCATTTGCTCGACTTTTATACTAGCAGCCGACACAAGTGGCCCCATAAATAAACACGGCTGAGGCAATAACCTAATGGTGATAGCCTATGATAGCCACACCTTCCTATAGAAAGTAATTTAAGACTCCAAAATTCATTTCTTCCAATGCAAGTAATGAAACATGAAAGAGTCGAAGAAGCAATTACAGGATCATATGAGAAAGAGAAAAGTTTGGTAACCAGTCAGGGTATTACCCATCGAGATGAAGGCAAAGCACGCCAATTGTCAGCAAGAAGCAGGGCATGGTTGCGAGAAGTAGCCGAAGGATTACATTCTTGACATGAGTTGCAGCCATTTCACCTGAATGTAGAGCAAGTTCAAGGTACCCGACAGGTTTCATCATTTCCCCTTCCTGCGCAAGTATTATCATCGAAAGATATATCAGCTTAGATTGCATAAATACAACAATATGACACGCAATCATGCTGTTGAGAAGTTAGATATAGATCACGATACACCAACAAAATTGGCACACTCGAACAAGAAGCGATCCCCTTTAATCCAACCAGAAGCTCAAAGATACAACTTGCCTTTGACTGAATATTGAACTTTCTTCACATTTTCATTCAGTGACTCGATCCAACAATCAGAAGCATGAATACTAGTATTTAGCCAATTCTAAATCATAAATGCGTCTTTAAAGCTCAACTGATACTAAGGTATTAACAACAAATATGGAGTTCTATGAACAGCTGTGAATTAAATTTGGTGTGGCCAATTAATAGGAGTATTATTCCAATCAGCTATAAGAGGAATCTATCAAACTGAATGCTGCTTGCTTTCTGATATTATTTCTTTCCATCATTTCTCTAACTTCTGCAGCAGCTTCCCACTGTCCTGTTTCAGCATACATATTATACAACAATATATATGCCGCTGAGCTTTCAGGTTCCAATCTCATCAATGCTTCAGCAGCAACTCGAGCCAACTCTGCATTATTATGAAGCCTACAAGCACTGAGTAATGCACCCCAAATTTCCTTATCTGGCCCAAACGGCATACTCTTGATTAAATACATGGCTTCCTCAAGTTGGCCATGTCGAGCAACATTGTCTACCAGGGAAGCATAATGTTCGATGCGTGGCTCAATGCCATATTCACTAACCATCGACTTAAAATACGCCCAACCTTCATCAACTAATCCAGCATGGGTACATGCACTCAAAACAGAAATAAATGTGATATAAGTTGGTTGAACGTTACTCTTCTTCATTGATTCAAAGAATTCTAAAGCCTCTAAAGCATAACCATGAGATGCATATCCTCCGATTATTGCATTCCAAGAGATTACATCTTTTGGTGATTTCAACTCATCGAAAATGATCCGTGACTCAATCAGTGCCCCGCATCTAGAATACATTGTAATGAGAGAGTTCTTTATAGGTACATCAGGAATTACACTCTTTGAAACCAACTGATGAATCTGCATACCTAATTTCATATCCACAAGCCCAGTGGTGACACTAAGAACTGAAGATAAAGTATGTCTGTCAGGTTTTTCACCTTTAGCTTGCATTTGTTTGAAAAGCTCGATTGCCCCTTTATAATCCTTGTTTTTCTCGTACCCCGCTACCATGGTGTTCCATGAAACTAAATGCTTTTGAGGCATCATCTCGAAATATTCACGAGCACGTCCTAAGTTACCCATTTGAGCATACCCTGAGATCATTGAATTCCAAGACATGTTATCAGGTGTTGGCATCACATTAAAAAGATTTAGTGCCTCCTTCATTTCTAGAATTTGAACATAGCCATTGATCATGGTATTCCAAGAAATAGTATCTCTATCCACCATTTGATCAAAGAGCTCCCTAGCAGAAAAAATATCTCCTACCTTCACATAACACATAATCATCGAGTTCCACGTCACCACATTTCTTTCAAACACCCAATTTCTCCCTTTGCTTTCGACACTCTTAAATGGGATTTGATTAAATAGTCTTCGGGCATCATCCAGTCTTCCCTTCTGACCATAAGCTGCAATCAAAGTATTATAAGAAGCAATCAAATTTTCACTCGAACCATCTTTATTCCCACATTCAATCAAAGCCCTGGCAGCTTCGTCCAATTCACCATCCCGAACTAAACCAGACACAAATGCATTAACAGAGGCAGAATCTCTTTCAGGCATCCTCTTAAAATACTCAGTAGCACTTAAAGTATCACCATTATCGAAAAATCCGGTAATCAAAGCGTTCCAAGAAACCACATTTCTCTCAGGCATACTCTCAAACATCTCTTTAGCTTCATGCATCCTTCCATTCTTAGCATACCCGCTAATCATTGTATTCCATGATATCACATCTCTGCGGGGCATTTTTTCGAACAACATTCTACCTTCCTCGAGAAATTTGCACCCCAGATATGAAGTATAACCAGATATCATCAGGTTCCAAGAAACAGTATCTCTTTCAGGCATTTCGTCGAATAGCTTTCGAGCCTGCGTTATTTCCCTTCGTTTCACGTACCCACTGATCATCGAATTCCACGTTACGGTGTTCCTTTTCCCCATTTGATCAAACATGGACTCCGCTTCGTGGATTCTTCCATTTCGTACTAAATGAGAAAGCTTCTTGTTCATGGTATACAAGTCCTCGGCGTTAGAAGAATCTGCCTTTGTTTTAGAATAAGCTGCTTTGAGTTTAGAGTAAAAACGCGACGGATTCAGAAAACAACGCCGCAGAACCATGGATCTAAAGGCCAAAACGCCGGGAGCAACTGATTATTGGGAGTTGAAAAAGAACTTAAGTTTGCTCGATACCATTTTCGGTCTACCTATTCGACTCTTTTTATTTAAGTAAATTATGCGTTTAGAACCTATATTATCGGTTTATTTTATTACCTAAATTATCATTTCTAATATATTTTAACACTTAAATTTTTAATTTTTTGAAATCATACTTAAAATTTAATTTTTATTTTATTTTTGTATCTTGTCGTTAAAAACTTTAGTTTTGTTTCATTTTAGTAGCCCTCAAAATTTAATGTTAATTTTTGAAAAGATTGACAATTCATTTACTACAACAGATCAAAACTGATAATTTAAGTACTAAACGTATTAAGTTTTTAATGACGGTGTATTAAAATAAAATAAAAACTAAACATTAAATATGATTTTAAAAAAATATTAGGTACTAAAAATGACTAAAACTGATAATTTGGATAATAATCTTTTTCTTCCAACAAACGACACCGTGATGTGTATGTTATAGAAGATTAAATTGGGCCACTACAATTCCAAACAACAATATGATAGCTTTTTGGTCGGCTTCCTCGCCCATATAGGGTTGTGAGAAAAATGATTTTCCTATATAAGACATTCACCATATTATTTCTTGAATTGGGGTTTTTTATTACTCTGAAGATGTCATATAGTCTAGGGTCTTCTCCATTTGTCTGAAGATGTCGTGCAGTCGTGGAGTCTTCTTCATTTACCTGAAGACGTCATACAGTCGTGGAGTGGATTGTTTGGAGGGCTATTTCGGTATCGGGGTGTCGAGAGGATTGTTTTGGGGTAGGTATTCCTCCAACCAGCTAGAGTGGCAGTTGACAGTAGCTCTCTAGGTGCTGGAGGGTGGTCGATTAGGTAGGGAGAGAAAATTTGAGAGAGGGGGAGAGTGTTTTTTTTAGGAATGAGTGAGAAATGATTTTTTTTTATATTTTAAGGTTATATTTGAGAGAGGGGGAGAGTTTTTTTGTTTGTTTAGGGTTTAGGCCAAAATGAGAACGTGCATGTATTACAAATGAAGATGTTTTTACTCGTTAGGCTTTAAACTTGAGTAAAATCAAGTTATTTATGTGATTAAGTGAATCATTGAGGTCGCTCAATAAGTTCTTATTTTTATTTTTTAATTATTTTTTGTTGGAAAAGTTGTGATAAATTAAGAATTTTGAGGAATATTTTCTAAGGGTAAAGGTGGGGATTGGAATAATGAATTTACTGATTCATATTCTACTCCATGATACTTTTACAACGGTATCTCATATGCCCAAAGCGGTTGAGTGATGAATGAGAAATTGATACTCTAAGTAAGGGTACATGTGAATTGTGTTAAGGAAAATGAAAAAAAACTCATATCCTACATTGATGGGAAACAAGCATGAAAATGAGTTATATACACAAATTCACTCACAAGCTTACGAGTATATTTGATTAAATACGTTCTTAATTGATTGTTTTTAAATTTATTTGGATACTCATTAATGAACTTATTAGTTTTTAGTTCGATATTCGGTCAACATTGAGGTTTTTTATTCTAAATTGTACTCTTTATTCATTAACTCAATATTTCTCTTTTTTCCGTCTCGAATTGTTATATTCATAATATTTTTTATTAATTTTATTTAATATTAAATAAGTCATCGAATTTTTTTTATAAAAAAAATAACAAAAATTTTAAATCTTAATTTCATCCATCGTATCATCATTTAAACGAGACATAATGAGTGATTATATTATAGTAAACTTAAAAAATTATTGCTCTCGGGGGCAGCGTACGGCTACTTTGGACGATTCAGAAGGTGAAGAAGGAAAATGTACTGGCAAAGTAGCAAAACAACACAATCTTTCCACCCATGTCTGCAACCAACAGTAAATCCTTCGATGCATTAAATCTGCATTCTTTAATGCATCAAATATGTTTAACCGCGTGGTAACCGGTAATTAAGCTCTTCTCCATGTCAAAAAGTGAATTTCGAGTCTCCATGATTTGAAGTTGCCGTCTTTGACACATTCCTTTTTCGAACAATGGTTTGCGGGGACCACACATGTATGGATGGAAAAAAATCTGAATTTTACGTTAAAAATCGAAAATCGAATTAAACGGGGACGGAAAAAAATCGTTTATGTTAAACAGGAACGGGGACGAAGAAAAATTATTTATGTTAAACGGGGACGGGGACGGGAACGAGTTTAGTAATTCCCGCCCCGATTACCCGATTACCCAGCCCGATAAATATTAAAAATAATTATTATTATATATATATAATATTAATAAATTTAAATTAAATTAAAAATATATATAATGTTTATATATTTAATTTAAATATATATACCGGTCCGATACCCGTTTAAATAACCGTTTATGTTAAACGGAGATACCCGTTTCCCGCGATTTTTCCCGATTTCCGATAGGGATTACTGTTTAAATCTCCACGATTTTTTAAACGAGGACAATTACGAATTTTTTAAACGGAGACGGAGATAGAGTCCAATACCCGGCCCGTTGCCATCCCTACACATGGGATCACATGGGGTGACACAGTCAAACAACAGGGAAAAAATGAAGTGAAAGCAAGGGATGAGGAGAAGGTGGAACTGAAATAAATGATAACATGCATTGAGGATGATGGTAGTGCAGGCAATCAGGTAGGGGTGAACAAAATTCAATTTGGAATTGAGTTTTTGAGTAGAATTAATTAGATTTGACTTAGTCATGTTGAAATAAAAAAAAATTAATTTCGAGTTGAGTTATAAAATAAAACTTGAATAATTCAATTTTTGAATTGAATCTCTCGACTCTGTATAATATCATATGTAAAAAATATGAAGAAATATATATGTTTATCATATATGGTTATATAAAATTATTTAAATTAGAATCTTATATTACCATAACATTATATATATATATATTTTCTGACTCGTCAACTTTAATAAATCTCAAATAAAATTTAAATTATAAAAAAAGACTTGTCAATTTGAATAACTCGAAATTTTTTAACTCGATTCAATCAAATACTCACCTTATAATTAGGATGGATCGAGGGGTTATTAAGGTGTTGTCTCACCCTATGAAAATTCTAATCTTTATATAATTTTAATAATTTTTTAATTTTCTATTAATAATTTAATTTTACACTTTTTAAATTTTATAGTTTTGCATTCCTTAAGTTTTAAATATAACTTTTTAGGTTTATATCCCAACATAAATTCACGTGTTCGTCCTTACATGATTAGGGATGACGATGGGTCGGGTTTTTTGTCTACGCGATCGACCCGAATCAAAAAACATGTATCATCTATCCGATCCGACCTGAAAAATATATATTCTCCACCCGATTCTAACCGACCCACGTTTTTAGAGTATAAATCTGACCTGATATAAAATAAGGATTTAATTAATTAAATAATAATAATTATTATATATTTTAAAGAAATTACATTATTATCCCAATGTTAGATCATGTCGGATTTGAGTTTTTCACCCTCCATCCGAACTTAACAAGAATCCGGATTTTAAAAAAAAAATCAACCCTATCAAATTGGATAAATCCGGAAATTATTAGTTTCTGGTTAAATTCACATCCTTATGCATGACAAGAACAAAGACACATCAGTGGAAAAGTTAAGAGAGTGAAGGGGGCATGATCTTTGCTCATCAGGGCTCAACCAAAGCTTGCCTTGTTTGAGGAAAGACAAAACCTAAGATGCCTATTTTCCTTCTCCATACACTCTTCTAGAAACTTCCCCTCCTGTCCTAAATGGTATAAAAGAGCCTTCACTGAAAACAACACATGAAAACCTATAGTCACTGAGTCCCTTCGACAAAACTGGCTATGTTGGAAGCTTTTTCCACCCTCTAATGGCAATGCCGAACATCAAAACACCACACACAGGCTGAACTCAGCTCTCGTTTTTAGCAATTTAATTAAAACAGTGTGTGAAGCACAACGTTGACAAGGTTGCCAAGAGTACTTTTGTCAGAACATGAATTGGCAAGAAAGTTAATGTAATAATTTTATCGAATATTGATGATAAAACGAATATGGACGAATAAATTATTTAATCCGGAACTAAATTCGCGTATTTAAATCTGCTGCAACAACAAGTATCTGTCATACATGAATATCATTTATTGTTCCATGAATGAATGTACTTATTTTTTGGTTAAACAACAATAATGGAAGCACAATGTTTAAGGTAATTAGGGTGTTTGAACAGTCTATAAATCCCACCCTCCCATGTAATAATATCATGCTTGTTGTAATCATCCAAAGACCTTCTTCCTCACTATCTTACGGGAACAGACAAGAAAAATGTCGACACTGGATCATCTCTTTGATCTCCCTGAGCAGATTTGCTATGTGCAATGTGGTTTCTGCACTACCATTTTGCTGGTAAAAAAGGAATATGGATAAATGCATGCATGTTGAAGTGCTTTGATCTCTCTTCAGCTGCTGATAATCTGGGTGTTTTTTGAAAATTGCAGGTAAGTGTCCCGTGTAGCAGCCTGTCCATGGTGGTTACAGTGAGATGTGGGCACTGCACAAGCCTTCTTTCAGTGAATATGATGAAAGCTTCATTTGTGCCACTGCAGCTTCTAGCTTCCCTTGGCCATGACGATGACGTATATTTATATATATATAATTATATATGCTCATTATATATATAATACGTTTATTAATTGATTATGGTTCTCTGAAGCAGGAAAAGGGAGTACTTTCAGAAGAAGTGGGTGCCCCTAGGAAGACCTCAGACAGGAGCAGCCCGTCTTTGCTGAGCTCTTCCGATAATGGAGATGAAGATATAGTCCGTGTGAATCCCACAGTGAACAAGCGTGCGTTTCGATTTATAGCCAATGGATGCTGCTCGTTGCTTAACTTAAAACAAGAAACTGATCAAGTAGCTTAATCATACATCAGAATTCTAATACTAGTTTGGTTTAAATTTTACAGCGCCGGAGAAGAGGCAAAGAGCTCCATCGGCTTATAATCGCTTCATCAAGTAATATATATATATATATATATATATAACAAGAATTTCTTTGACTTAGTAGTTAGTACATTTATCATATATATAGATTCTTTCATTCTTGGTGGCTGCAGAGAGGAGATCAGGAGACTGAAAGCTCAAAATCCAAACATTCCACACAAGGAAGCCTTCAGCACTGCTGCAAAAAATGTAAGTTTCAGACACCCAAAAGAATTAACAAGACGACAAACCAATCCTTTCCTGCATATATTTTCTGATCTACATTTATATGTATGTATATATATGTGTGTGTTTATGTCTAATACAGTTATACTATATGTCTTGATATTTCAGTGGGCCCAGTTTCCTCCCATGCACAAGCACAACAAAGGAGAAGGAGAGAGTTGTGAGCAGGAAGAAGGAGATGCATCATGGAACTCAGAGGCTGCTGAGGTTAATTAATTAGCTTTTCTAACAGGTCTATTATGATTTAAATGCTTTACAAGTACATCTAGCTAGTGTAAACTGTTTTAGAGCAATAAAAAAGTTCTGTACTCTTTAGTTCATGAGCATATATATAACAGTACAAGACAAGTTTCAGACGCATGCATGCTTAATTACCATGCAATGCATGCATGTTTATCCTTCTTCATGTCTTGTGATTTCTTATATATGGGAATTAGGCTTGCAAAAAGCAACAGCAATACATATTAATTTTAAAGAGTTTTAAAGGCTAGTTTCCCCATTTCAAAGGATAGGGATAGAGGGTAGTTCTTTAATTGCAGTTCAACTACTACACGAAAAAAATTTAATAAGCTACCCTTTTGGGGATACTTGAACACACTGTTGACACTTGGTTAGGTCCTTAAATGTTTGGGGTAATCTATTCCACTGAAAAGGGTTGCATGACTTTCTGGTTTCACAAATTTCAGGCTCACATACAGGGCAATGATTTCCGTGAAAGAAAAGCAGCAAGGAGTTCCATTTGGGCCAAGTTACCCCTTGAGTGAAGTGAAAGAACTATTAATTTCAAGCCCCGGTTGATTTTATTACTATATATTTTCTGATGCATATATATATATATAGTTGGGTTTCAATATCATTTTGCCCCTTTTGTGGGAGATGCTCTTGGGAATGAAGAACTCTTTTCACTGCAAGCTGCCAGAGAGCTGTACCGGTGATTACTGACTGCCTTAAACCAAAGAAAAAGCTTCAGTGTTTTCAGAGATTCCAACTTTACTACTGCTGGTATCTTAGCTGGTTCTTTTAAGATTTTAGTTACCCAGAAATGAAGATTTAACTCGTATTTACATCACGCAAAGTGAAATACTAATGATTATTTGCTTACCTATGAATTTAGACCCGTTTCTGCAATAATATTAAGTACTGTTATTCAGTGCTTCCGGTACTTTTTCCTCCTTTCAAAACTCGGCTTCCTTTGAATTTACCTACCTGGGAAATCGGAAACCAAACAACTTATAAACTCATCAATGCAATCAACACAATTGCAGAACAATATATACATATATGTGTGTGTATGAATATAAGAAAATGGTGAAGATAGTGAAGGTTTAGGGTTGGGATTGTAGGGTATATGCTTCAACACTTACCCATGAAAGGCCTGTAGGAAGAGACACCATGAACATATGCTCGAAAGAAGTCCCTATTCTCCTTCTCTAGCTCTCTCCACACTGAAAAAACACATCTATATATGAAACTTTGAAACCCTAAACTCTCGTTGATCACATGTAATCGTCATCGTCATTGTCGAACTTTTTTTATTACCTGTGATTGTAATGCACGGCCGAATGCTTGCGTACTGTGCCAATGCCTTGACGCATTGTTGTTAGTTCATGTGAAGAAGCAAGCATCTCTCTATCAGATGCTGAACCTGCAGCGCCATGCAAAACCAGAAAACAAAAACACAGTACTGGTTAAACAAGATGATGCTTCTTTCAGTGCACAAGTTGGAAGAGAGGTTTTCATTTCACTAACCATCCTGATGTAGCTATGTGGGTGGCAATGAAGACAAGGAATCATTTTGACAACCATTTTTGAAATTTTGTCAATCGAGTCATTCAACTATTTAAATTCATTCAATTAAGCCTTATGTCGTTAATGGAAGTGTTAACGTGACAGTTAATAAAATTGGTATAATTATACATCTAGTCACTCTTACTTATATACTCTATCAATTTGGTCATAATTTTAATAAATTAAAATAAATTTAACCCTCGAATCGGATGTACCACGTGTCGTGACACATGGCACCAGTGACACATGGCACAATTTGATTCGATAGTTAAATTTATTTTAATTTATTAAAATTTAGAAAATTGATAAAATGTATAAGTAAGAGTGATCAAATGTGTAATTATATAGTTTTATTAATTGCAATGTTAGCAATTCCTTAAAATGTTAACGAGATGTGGCTTAATTAAATGTATTTAAATAGTTGTGTGACTTTGTCTGAATAGGAATATGATGAGACGAAGCCGGAAGTGATTGAGCTTCATTGGAAGGGAGCAGGTGATGAACTGGTTGCCCCTTAGATCTTTGAGCTGATATCACAACAGAACAACACAAGTGTATGAGAATATTTAATCACAAATAGCTGACAGTTCTATTTGAAACACGTAAATTCAATCTTGCGATTTCCCGCAATCTGAATGTATCTTTTTCTAAATATATACAGAATACCATTTTCTCTTTGGGCTTTTTCCTTGACGAATAAGTAATGGAACTTAGGTTTTGGATCCATACTGAGAGGCCTAAACGCCGCACGTTATCCAAAGTTCAATTTGCTTGTCTGTTTTGGTCCTTTCGAACCCAACCTGACTCAATCTGGCCCAAAAAATATATACCTTACACCCGACTTCTATTCGACTCGATTTTTAGAGTATAAATTGACTCAACCCAATATAAAATAAAGACTTAATTAAAAAATAATAGTAAAAATTTAAGGAAATTACATTATTATCCTCGGTCGGGTCGAGTCAGGTTGGAGTTTTTTCACACTCCACCAAAACCCGACCCGAACCCGATTTTTTTTTTATAAAAAAATCTGACCCTATCAAGTCGGGCCGGAACCCGTCGGATTCGGGTTAAATTGTCATTTTAGGTACATTACGTGTTTAGTGCCTAAACTATTAGTTCTGATTCGTTTTAGTGTCTAAACTTTCAAAATTTTCAAAACCATACCTAAAGTTTAGGTTTTGTTCCATTTTAATTTTAATATCATTGTTCAAAATTTAACGTTAAGTTTTGAAAAAAATATTAAAATATTAAGTACTAAAGCGGGCAAAAACTGATAGTTTAGGTACTAAATGCGTTAAATTTTTAACGGTGGATATTAAAATGAAATAAAAACTAAACGTATGTTGGTTTTGAAAAAATTAAAAGTTTAAGTACTAAAACAGGTCAAAACAGATAATTTAGGTACTAAATATATAGTTTACCCTAAAATCTAATTTTAGTTGGATCGATAATTTTTCTTATCTTTTTTATTTTAATTTAGAATTTTAATTAGAAATTTAATTCTGACAATTTATTTTAAAATAAATTTTAATTTTTTAGTATTTTTTATCATTATAGAATTTTAATTGAATAAAATATTACTTTATTCAATTTAATTAATATAAAATAAAATCAAACTATATGTAAATTTTTTACACATGCTTTTATTATAATATAACTAATAATATATAAATAAATAAACATATATTTTCCTCATTGTTTTGGAATGAGTTAAATAGAATAGTTTTTTTTATTAAGCTAAGGTGATTACAAGTAGTATATGTTTTATGTGCTCTCGACTATCTGACAATAAATGCTTAATTGCATTGCTGAAGCTGTTGATGCTCAAATCCGTGACCTGTAAGAGTAACAATGATTCCTTTAACCACTGAAATAAATTGGTTCGTGCAAACAAAATAGAATAGTTGACTCTAAATATAAAATTGATCTGAAATAATTTTTTTTTATAAAAATTATTATTTATAAAAATTATTATTCTATCAAATTAATTTTTATAAAAAATCTTACTCGTAAACGTACGGACATACGGCATTTTCACATATAGCTCTCAAAGACTACTTTTCAGCAGAGCAGCCCATACCAAACTAGAAACGACAATATCTTGTACTTTTCAATTGATTATTTTAATTAAAGTTAGTAGTTTTTTTTATTAAATTAAATCAAATTTAATTTAATTCTAATTTTGAATACAAATTAAATTAATATTAAATTCAAGTTACGATTCACAAATCTAATCACGATATTTCTTTTATTAATATAAAGTATAATCTATTTTAAATATTTTTAATTATTTAAAAATAAATACTTAAATATTCGTGCATTATACTTTAATTTCTCCTTCTTTGTCATTACTTCACATAACCTATGTTTACTTTGATGAAGTCGCATTTGATGAGTGGGTTTAATTTAATGTAACGCAACTGTTGCATTATACTTTAAACATGGGAAAAGTAGGTGCATTAAACTTGCATAATCGGCAAATTTCTTTTTTACATTTCTTATTGAATCTCGACTCTTGTTCTTGGATTTGGTCGGCATTTTGATGTAATTAATTTTTACACGTTTATTGCAGTGAAAGCAAAGATCGAAAGCCGCCCTCACCTTTATTTCTCAGCCTGTTCTCAAGTCTGATAAGCTAAAATAGCTAAAGGAAAGAACTTGATATCCAAGAATGTGGGTTCAATGGATAGGGTTAGTGCAACCTTGATGACGATGATGCGTGATCTTCATGAGTAAATCAGTTCATGAATATAATATTTCAATATAATCGATAGTTATATGGTATGTCAAAATGAACCATGGCCAGTTTGACTCTTTATCTGCATATGGGACTGAATGGCGTTGCTTTGAAGCTGTTTGATAAAATGGCCGAGTGGCATTTAGCTGTTTGGAATTTGATATCATGGGATTCAATCATTTTTTCTTGTCGATAATGGTTTGTTGTCGGATGATCTTCGGAGGTGTGTTCGATTTGTTTACGAACAAACGATCACGAACCAAACATGTAGACCATCATAAACAAACAAACAACACAAGCACAACCTTATTCATTCAAGCTCGGTTCATTTACAAATTACACCTTTATGTATGGAATGTGTTGTGACGTTGAGAGATGTCTATCTGTCAGCGTATGAGAGTACTAAGATAACTTTGGCGTTTGTACGAAGATGCATGCATGGTGATGTTTCATTTTTAGATTTACAAAATTGAGTTATATATATATATATATATATTCCTTTGCTGATTACTTTATCTACTTCTATGGTTGAGAGATGTATACTGAATCCTTGAACATATTGTCTGGTTCATTTTGTCAACTGGTTGAAGAGTAAAGCAAAGAACATAAAAGTAATATTTCCCTTGTACTTTAAGTGTAGGCATATAGAAAATGTAGCACCTTCATCTACTTTTAAGCCAAGCCATATAGCCCACAAAACCATTCATTTCCAAAACTAATCTGCATATATAAATTAAACTTATATCTTATTGCATTTATACAATTTATACAACTCAATCAATCTTTAACAGGGAAAAAAAAGAACACGAATCATGGCTAAATTGTTCCTTGTTTCCTTCTTTGGTTTGCTGATAGCGGTGTATGGGGTTGCAGGTAACATGGTACATGACAACTTTAACATACTCGAAGAGCTTGAAGACTTGGACTTGGAAGAAGAAGATACAGACTTTTTAGAGTCCTCTTGGACAAGTCAACATGGTGATAAGGTTCTTGTGAATGTGGATAGCTTTAATGCAGTTGGAGATGGAGTTTCCGATGACACCGAGGTATATGTTTTTTCCCTCTACTCCCTTGCAAATTACCTTCATGATTCTCCTAGAACAACATAAATCTTTCAAGGATTATATATCTGTGTGTGTATGTGTATGCTGTTAAGATTATTTTTTACTGGATTAAGCATTTGATCTGTCTCGAAATTCATGCTTGGTGTATATTACTGTATGACCGTATGTATTTTCATTGTCATAAAAGGAAGCTAATTTCTCAGTTGATGAACTGGAAATGTTTACATCAACAGGCTTTTAGAAAAGCATGGGACACAGCCTGCTCTACTGAAAAATCTGTTCTACTAGTTCCGCCTGGGCGCCGTTATTTAGTTAATGCTACAAGGTTTAAGGGGCCATGTGCAGATAAGCTGGTTGTTCAGGTAAGTGTCGATGTGAATTAAATTAAACACATACGGAAACAACATCTCACTTATCTTTATCTACGTTATAGATTAAATGGTATTATATTAGAACCATTATTGTTATTGTACAGATTGATGGAACCATAGTGGCCCCAGATGAACCTAAGAATTGGGACTCGGATCTTCCTAGACAATGGCTTGATTTTTCCAAGCTGCAGGGAGTGTCATTCCAAGGAAATGGGGTTATCGATGGATCAGGCAGCAAATGGTGGGCAGCTTCTTGCAAAAAGAACAAGTCAAATGTAATTGCTCAGGATTCTCTCTATAGATTCCTTCATGCTCAAGTTACAACTCAAATAAATGCAAATGTGACTTATAGTTCATCTTTTTTGGTTTTTTCTTTGGCAGCCTTGCAGAGGGGCACCGACAGTAAGGATCTTTATCCACGATTAAAGAACTCGTGCTTCCGATAAGTAGCACGCGGTAGCTGTGCATTTGAACTAGTGATGCATCTTAAATTAGATTTAACGTGTGAGTCTGTTGCAGGCACTGACTATAGATTCAAGTTCATCTATTAAGGTGAAAGGCCTTACTATTCAGAACAGCCAACAGATGAATTTCATCATTTCCAAGTCCGAATCAGTTCAAGTATATGACGTTAAAGTCTCGTGTCCTGGAGACAGCCCAAACACTGATGGGATCCACATCACTAAATCGACTAATGTTGTTCTTCAAGACTGCAAAATAGGAACAGGTTCTTAAACCTTTTCGCTAGTTCTTAGTCCATTTTAAAGATTTTCTTTACGCTTTCCAGTTGGAAAAACAAAAACACCAACCGAACAAAGTCTAGATAATGCCTGAGAGGATTTCATTAAGAAATGATAATAGAAATTATTTCATGCATGCATACCGACTGCCTAAATATTCATGGTGACTGTCTGTATGAAATTCAGGTGATGATTGCATATCGATTGTCAGTGGTTCATCTACTATCAAGATGAAGAGAATATATTGTGGACCAGGACATGGAGTCAGGTGTATTCCAAACTTCCAGTTAGATTCGATCGACTAATTTAACGGAGTGTTTCCCGATCTGCTCAACATAGTGCTTTTTTTGCTGTTCCTTTCCCTACAATCTAAACTGATTTATGTTTTACTTCTCTTCTTTTTTGTTTTTATTTTATGAAAAATTTGGCATCTTAGCATTGGAAGCCTTGGGGAGGGTAACTCAACAGGTATTGTCACAAAGGTGGTATTGGATACAGCATTCCTCAGGGAGACCACAAATGGTGTCAGGATCAAAACTTGGCAGGTATTATTTTGATGACATGTCAAGATATTTCATTTAGAGACACTTCGGGTTTGAGAATGACATCTGCCTCTTTGTGTTCCTTCGATAAAGGGTGGTTCCGGTTACGTCCGTGGCGTGCGTTTCGAAAACGTGAGAATGGAAGATGTTTCTAACCCCATCATTATCGATCAATTCTACTGTGATTCCCCAAAAGCCTGCCAAAACCAGGTGCAGCATCCAAGTTATTTCCTGGCACTTCTAAATTTCTCTGTATCTGTATAACGATCGCATCAGTCCCGATTCTTGCGAGATTCTTTCATCCAATTAGAACACTGATCACATTTTTTCTTTGTTGTTCTTAGACATCAGCAGTGGAAATAAGCCAGATTATGTACCGAAACATTAGTGGGACGACGAAGAGCAAGGAAGCAATCAAATTTGCCTGCAGCGATTCTGTTCCCTGTAAAAATTTAGTCCTGGGCAATGTAAACTTAGAGAGGAAGGATGGCACAGTTGAGGCCTACTGCAACTCCGCACAAGGATTCGGCTACGGGATTGTGCATCCTTCAGCGGACTGCCTCAGTTCGCACGACAAAGGCACTAGTTCCACTAATCAGAAAGACGATGCCGAGCTTGCTGAATCCACCGGAGATCGTATTATTCACACTGAACTCTAAACTCCTATAGGCATATCATTACTGATGCCATATGATTACTGTACAAGGGTTAACTACAACAGCAGAGGCCCGAGGAGGTTCGAGTCACGAGTCAATTTTTTTTTTTGGGGGGAAATTGCGAATTTCATTATTGTTATATGCATAAGCTGCATTGGAATTCATCCATACAATATAGCAAGGATATGTAAAATTCAGTTAAATATTACAGTTTTAGATCAATCTAAAATAACATATAAATAACAGTTTCTTTTTGGGTCTACCCCTATGCATTTTTCTTACAGTTTTTTTTTAACTATTTTTTATTGATTTTACAGTGTTATATATTGCTGTTATATTTTCCAAATATTACTACACAAGTAATTATACCTGTTAGGCTTTGGTTGGTTTTTCAAAAATTAGGTAATTTTTTTTTATCAATTTCATTTAATTGGTATTATGAAAATTAGGTTGGATACATGTGATTTGTCTTGTTTTCGTTTATGCCAATAGGGTTTAGCCACAAGCACAGCATGTTTGTTTTCAATGAATTTGCAATTGATAGTTTGGGAGACAGTTTAGAAGGGGTCAATGGTTTTGGGATTGATATAAAATGACTTAAAATTTAAGGACTAATTAGAAACAGAGGTTATAGTTTGGGGACCTCATTCTAGTTGAAAGTTCATACAGTGCATGTGGATAATTCAAACCAAATATTTATTTGGTTAGGCTTATTTCCCAACAGTCCTCATTGCTTAACCTCTTCCCTATTCAAACCAAATATCTGTCTTGCTATTGCACAGGCGCTGAGGTTTTACGGGAGCTCCGACGTGAAAGTCGAGGGCATAACGATTCTAAACAGTCCTCGGTGCCATCTCAAGTTCGAAAATTGCAGGGGAGTCGAGGTGAAAGATGTGACTGCCTCATCTCCTCCGGACAGTCCAAACACGGATGGAATCCTGCTGTCAAACTCCATGCATGTGCGAATTCGTTCGAGTAATCTTGTCTGCGGTAGTTATTCCGATCATTCTTGCTAGTAAATAACATTGCTTCGGTACGGCATTTGTCGACAAAACAAAGTAAGACGTTGGGGTCCTTGTAAATCTCATGTTGCTTCAGCAGGAAGCAAGTTCTTGAACAGAATTAATCAGCTCTGAAGTGAACTCTAAGCTAATAATTGGTGCAGGGGATGATTGTGTTTCCATCATAGCAGGATGCTCGAACGTAACTGTTGAAGATGTACGATGTGGACCGCGGCATGGAATCAGCATTGGAAGCTTGGGAGAGAAGGAAACCAAAGAGTGTGTCTCGGACATCATCTTTGTAGACACTTATTTTTGTCCTATTATATATATATATATATATATATATATAGTTTGAAAAATATTTTTAAAATATATATATAATATATAGTTTGAAAACATTTATATATTATATAGTTTTTAAAACACTTTTGAAAATATATATATTATATAGTTTTTAAAACATTTTGAAAATATATATAGTTTTTAAAACATTTTGAAAACATATATATATTATATAGTTTTGAAATCATTTTGAAAACTTATATAATATATAGTTTTAAAAATATTTTTGAAAACTATATAATTTTGAAAACATTTTTTTTAAAATATATAATATATAATTTTAAAATACTTTTGAAAATATATATTATATAGGTTTTTGGAAAAATATTTTATATATATATAATATTATTATTATTATTATTTATTTTTATTAATTTTATTTTCAGGTATGTTTCTAGTCCAACAAGTCAAGGTCAGAGTCCAAACGCAGTCCAATAAGAATGGGCATGATCTAACTTGGTTAGGTTTGGAAACCCTAAATGATATCAGTCAACACAGCGTCGTACGGGGGTCAAGCACGCCCAAACGGTCGAATTTTCCGACCGAAATTCTCGGGACTGACCCATGCGGGGATGACCGGCCAACCACGAACAACATCAGGCCCGAAACATACGAGAACCACCCCCCCACATCATCGGAAACAGTCCTCATCGGGGCTGTATAAACACATCACAGGGGACAGAACTGAGGGGACAACACAAAACCACCATCATCAGGAGATCCAACACAAACACATCAACACAAGCAAACCAAAACTGAGAGCATACATAAGCATCGAAACCACACACATAAAAATACCAACAACCAAACGAACACCACATCATCGAGCATCGAAAATACAGTAAAACCGAGAGATCAAGTAAAGCAACGAAGCACAAAGACCAAACGGCGAGAACAGAAGCGGAAAGATAAAAGGTCGAGACTTTTGGCTTAGATCTACGTCGGTGGGGGTATTTTTTGGGTGTTTGGGCTTCGGTTTTAGGTTGAGGACATTGAGAGGAGTATTTTGAGGGGTTTCAGTGGGGATGGCTCTAGAGAGAAGCCAGAGCATGTTTATCTTAGAGAGAGAGTAAAATGAGAGAAAAATGAGAGGGGTGAATTTGGCCTTATATAGTCCCCACGAAACGACGTAGTTTCGATGGAGGAGTGGCTCGTAATTTTGCTTAGGGGTTTATCGCAGCACAGGTCCCTCATCCCTTGTAATGCTGATTTCTAGCCATAGATTGAACTTTTAATTTATTTTATTTTGAGCATTAAATTTCTAGCATTTATATTTTAGCCCTGCTTCTTATATTGCATGTTTTTTGTTAATATTCGAATTTGACTCTTATATTTGCATATCTTCTGTTTTGGTCACTAATTTGGCATGAATGTTTAAGGTTAATTACTTTTTAGTCCTTCATGTTCTTACACATTTTATTTTATTATATATATATATATATATATTATTTTTAAACATCTTTTTTTACTTTATTATTGTTTTTTACGATTTATTTTCCTTTTGTTATTTTTTATTTATTCTTTATTTTTCCCTCCTTTTGATTTGTCCTTTTATTATTTTCTTCTTTTTAATTTTTCCCTTTCTTTTGATTTATTTAGTATATATATATATATATATTTGGTTCCCCTTTCGATTTTTCTCTTTTTTTTTTTATTATTTCAAATATTTATTTAATTTTTTTTCCTAACATTTTCGACCTATTTTTAGCAATTTCAATCAATCTAAGGTAAATAATTCGAACCATATATTTAATTTTCAATTTAAATTTTTAATTTTCGTAATTAAAGACAACTGACAAATTAATTGGTATCGAAAGGGCAGTTCAAGGGTGTTAATCCTTCCTTGATCGTAACCGGCTCCCGAACCCGGTACGTTTTTGGTAAAACGCAGATCAGGTAAGATGGTGTTCGACCCACCTAAATTCGTTTTAAAATGATCAATAGTAACTCTAACCTAATTAATTCAAATCGTAATCCAATTTTAAATCCAATAGAAAGACGATTCTGACAATCGTCATCAATATCTCCATACATAACTCACGAACGATGCCCGAATAAAGACATGGCAGATAATATGTACGTGTAAGATGTGCTAAGCCGGCTTTTAAATTCAAGACCGGCTTCGGATAATATAATCTCAGACTATATTTGCAGGGCAGATCCGGCTCGGTTTGCAATGTCCAGTTCTCGAACATAAATGTGTCCTGTGTCAGACGTCCGATCGTGATCAATCAATTCTACTGCGACGTAAAGGACAGAAAGAAATGTATCGGGAATCACTTTTGGAAATATATACGGAACATACACGGTAAAACCAGTGTACTTAGCTTGCAGCGACAGTGTTCCATGTACGGGCGTAAATTTAAATGCCATCGATCTAAATCCATCGGGAAAGAAATCAACCCTCGATAATGCACCGTATTGTCGGAAAGCTTCCGGTGAGATGAACTTGACCACCCCGACGGTGCCGCTAAACGGTGGTTGTTCGAAGACTGGCAAGCGGTTAAACAACAGAGTCCGACCTGATCGTGATGTGTGCTGATTGCTGAACTTTGTGTGGGATATTATACAAATGTATTATCCATTACATGTGCAACAATAAAATCAATATATAATATGTATTCCCTTTGTTCTTCATATGTGACAATGAATCGGTCAATCAAGTAGTAGTTCAGATCACGTACATACTAACACATGTTCTTAAAAACTATGGATTCAAAAGAAATTGAGTAAATAAATAGGGACTAAACGATCAAGGCTAAATTCTGAGGGGGTGAGGTAACCGGGATGACGGTGTAATTTATTGATTAAACAAGTGACCCGTTTGTAATTTTTTGAAATATAAGGATCCATATATAATATTACTAATAATTGAGTTACATTATATAATTTACGATATATGATTATGGTAGGTCTTAGGTAGGAATGACAACGGGACGGGTTCGGGGCAAGTTTTGCTCGTCCCGTCCCCGTCCCCGTCTCCGACTCGATCCCCATCGAATTTTTTATCGAAACATCCGTCGGAGATTTTTTTGCCCCTTTTCCGAACCCGACCCGAAATATTAAAATATTATATATATAATTAATATAAAATATATAAAATATTATATATATAATTAATATATAAAAAATAAAAAATATTATATATATATATATAATCGGGGCGGGGATACCTTGCCCGAACCCGAACCCAAAAAAATCCCCGAAAAAAATATTATATATATATATATATATATATAATCGGTGGTCATTCTGCCATCCCTAGTCTTAGGTTGGACGCAATCCTAAAACGAATGGGTAAACTACATATTTAAATTTAAATTATCAGTTTTGATTCAGTTTAATACCTAACTTTTTCAAAACCATACTTTATGTTTAGTTTTAATTTCATTTTCATACATCATCGTTAAAAACTTAATACGTTTAGTATCTAAACTATTAGTTTTGGTTCGTTTTAGTATCTGAATTTTAAATTTTTTTAAACTTAACATTAAAATTTTTTGAATGAGATACTAAAATAAAACAGAAACTAAAATTTTTAACGGCGGACGGGTGGAGTACTAAATAAAATAAAAACTAAACTTTAAGTATGATTTTGAAAATATTAAAAGTTTAGATATTAAAACATAAAAACTGATAGTCTATGTACTAAATAGATAGTTTACCCGAAACAATATTGACGTGTTGATAACTGACTGGAGGTATGCAAAAATTTACACGGGGTAACTTCGTTATTTGCGTGTGGGGAAAGTATCTTTAATTTTTTATTTTGTTCACTAAATTTTATATATATACTTTTTTAATTACTCAACTGTTATTTTTTTAATCATGATGTGATAATTTTTATTAAATTTTAATTAATTAATATTATATATATATCCCACCACCCAAGCCACTCATCTTCAACACCCTTTCATCTTCTATACCGTCAATATCATCACCTTCAGTGCTCAAAATCTCTCTTCTCCCTTCTAATACTCACATCATCCGTTGCTTCCTTAGTATCTACCACTGCAAAGGACCAAACTTTAAACACTCAAAAAGTTGTTCTTCAACCCCAAGTTTTCACCGAGAACTTTCTCATCTTCCAAAAGTTTGAAGGCTCATCGGAAATTGTATAGTTCCAGTCTCATCGCCGACCAAATGATGGTAGGAAATTTGCTTCAAAGAGTGAGTAATATTGCTCGGATTCTTCAAATATTTGGAGGATCATATCCGAATATGCATCGAACATAATCGTCGGACATGAAAACTTAAGAAAATCAAAGAATGGGAACGAGAAACGAAAGAAATGGTTTACCAGGATCGAGAGAGAGAACACATCCAGGTGACAATATAGTAACTTAGGAAAGAATCAGCAAGGATTACAGCAACCATGGGAAGTAAACTGGTGGAAGCAGCTGCAATGTTGAATGTCTGAGATGCATCAATGCTTCTCACATGGAATTTCTCAATCATATACACAATCAAGTTGTTTTGCCCACCCTGATACTGCTATGCTTGATCCTGTCAGTGCCCCTGTTTTTCCCCCATTGGCTCATTTGTAAGCGTTTAAAGTTTGGGTGGCTTGGGTGTAGAAGATGAATGGGTGTTGAAGATGAGTGGTTGTTGAAGATGAGTGGGTGTTGGAGATGAGTGGGTGTTGATGGATAATAAAATATCTATAAATTATATTAATAAAATATTAATTGATTAAAATTTAATAAAAATTGTCACGAGTTAAAAAGATAACGGTTGAGTAATAAAAAAATTTAATGTCTAAAATTTAGTGATCAAGTTGAAAATCTTAAAAGTACGGTGAGTAAAATGAGAGATATAGTAAATTAAAGTGAAAAAACGAGTAATATACCCTAAAAATAAACCAACAAATAATCCCAATGGGCATTTCTGAGTTCTTATTCCAATTGGCGTTGGTCTCTAATTTCTCTCTTTCTTCCGTTTGCTTCTGAGATCGAATCCAATTTCAAAACCGCGTATCCCTCAAAGGTATAGCCATTCAAATCTCTCTCAAGCTGTTCGCTTTCGCAAGCGATGCATGTAAACAAATCAATTCAAAGCGCTTTTCACCGGAGTTTCTCTCTTTGTTTTAGATGTGAAGCTTCGATGAAAATCGTTTCCTTGTTCTTTAAACTCGCTGGTTAAGAATGGATGATTCGTGGCTTGGAAATGCTTGATTTCGTCATGCATTGCCCCTTGAATTTTTAGAAATGTTGTTGCTTTCCTATCTGATCTGAATTTTTTTTCTTTTGTGTGTGCATCATGAATTAGTCTAGATCTGCTATTTGCCTTTCTCTGCATATATGTATGCGTTCGTGTGTATGTATGTATGTATATTTGAGTTCTCAATGTAAACATGAAAATTACACATTGACATTGATTCTTCGCACCTCTGTTTGTTATATTTACGTGAAATTTGTTTATTGATAAGGAAATGGTAGGCTAAAGTTATTCCCTTCCCCCCCCCCCCCCTTCTTTTGGAGATGATATATGTGCATTTTCATATATTAAGGGATTAGCAATTAAGGACGAGAAATGGGGCTGTCATTCGCAAAGCTTTTTAGCCGGCTTTTTGCCAAGAAGGAGATGCGGATTATGATGGTGGGTCTTGATGCAGCTGGTAAGACACCATCTTGTACAAACTTAAGCTTGGAGAAATTGTTACCACTATCCAAACCATTGGTGAGACCTCTTTCGAATCTTTTTTTCTTTCTTAATATCTGGTTTTGGTGGTCATCTTTAATTCTATATTAGAACCATCGTAATTCCTCTGTTGTTATTGGCTGCTTGCACTTTTTTAGGGAATGTCTGTGCCTTGTATTTCATGGGCAAGGTTAGCTAGCAAAATACGTAATCTGCTGGGTCCCTTTGCTGCCTTTTCTTTTTAGATTTTAATTTTCTTGATCCTTGGAGCTTTAGTTGCATCTTAGATAATATATTTTCATTCAGGTTTTGTATCATTTGGTAAGTTGAGCATGTGATTCCTGTAAAATATTCTCTCTTTTTTCCCCTTCGTAATTGCTATATCATTATTGTTATTTGTGATGTTGGACTTAGAGACTTGGAATTGAAATATGTATAAATCAAATGCAAACAAGTTACATCTATAAATTTTTTAGATCCAAGATGAAGAATTAGCTTTGGAACATGTGACGTCTAGTCTCCGGAACATAATGTTAATGTTTTATATTGTAATTTGATTATCATCATGTGTGTGATTTATTTATCCATGCTCATTCTTTATGTTAACTAGTCATGTTTTTTACATTGCAGGATTTAATGTCGAGACTGTGGAATATAAGAACATCAGTTTCACCGTGTGGGATGTTGGTGGCCAAGACAAGGTACGGGTTTTTTTTCCTTTTATGCATTTATTTCAGCAATGTTGCAAATTATTATTTAATTTTTGACGGGGTAATTGTTAATGATCTTTACATATTGTGACATCCAAGTAATGGCTAATCAATAATGCCCTAGCTTTTCCATATTAATCATGCAGATTCGTCCGCTGTGGAGGCATTACTTCCAGAATACACAGGGTCTCATCTTCGTGGTTGACAGCAATGACAGAGACCGTGTTGTTGAGGCTAGGGATGAATTGCATAGAATGTTGAATGAGTTATGCTAGTTTCGTTTTAAACCACATTTGTTTCCATGGTTATTATTTATGCTTGAATTGTATTGCAGTTATAAGTGGCTTTGGGTGCTTTTTTTCTAGCTCTACCATCATAAGTATTAGATTTAATTAGCCATACAGAAGCAAAATGGTAGCGTAGTATAATGCTCAAGGGTCAAGGATCCTCAATGGTGGTTAGATTCCACTGTCTTGCCCCTAGTAGTCAAAGATTCTTGATTTGTTAGCACTTTTTTAAGATATTCCTAGCATAAATGACTTGATTCCTCCATGCTATTTGAGCTATCAATTGTAATGACCATTGCACAAGTGCAATTGAGTGAATGTGGGTGTTGAAAGACATGTATGAAACTACAACTTTAAGAAGCTAACGGTCATTTTCAATGAAATTTGTCTGTATGGTCTATGCTACTGTTTTTGTTCCGGATATTTATTCAAAACTAGTTTAATGTAGTGACTTTACATTTACATTTACATTTATTCTAAACAGAAAGGTACTAGAATATTGAGGGTAAACTTGGGAGCATGAGTTGAATCTTCTGCTTTCAGTTTAATTTTGCCTTATTGTCATGGTTAACCTAGTTCGTTAACTAAATCATTTTCAGGATGAGCTGCGAGATGCGGTAGTACTTGTATTTGCAAACAAGCAGGATCTTCCAAATGCAATGAATGCTGCTGAAATAACTGATAAGCTGGGTCTTAACTCTCTTCGAAACCGGAACTGGTAAGCTTTTTGCATTGTGTTTTCTTGCTTTAGTTACTAGCTTCTCATTCATTACCACTGGCGCACCTCGCTCGTTTTCTCAGGTACATCCAGAGCACCTGTGCAACATCTGGTGAAGGGCTTTATGAGGGTCTGGATTGGCTCTCCAACAACATAGTTAACAAGGCAGGAAGATAAATTTGCACCATTTTATCTTTATGGATAGTTTTACTGTTTTCTTATGTTCACGTGCATTTTTTGCAGGCCTGAAGTCATTAAGGGTGTGTTTGGTTGGGAGAATGTGAAATTTTTATGGGAATGAAATCTACATTCCCCCGTTTGGTTGGCCGGGAATGTCATTCCCGGTAATCTTATATTATTAATAGTAGATTTTTGAGGTATATTATCGGGAATGTCATTACCTCCATTTTCTTATGTATTGTTGGATTACCGGCGTTTTAGACTAAAATGTCCTTAAATTTTTTTTTCTTTTAAAAATATCCTTATTCTGTCATTGAATAATAAAAATTTTACGAAGGTTAAATTACAAATTTATCCTTAAATTATTTTAGATTTACAAAAAAAAACTATAATTAAAATTTTATATGAAGTTCAGGGGTTAAAAATATAAAATTTTACCCTTTCATTAAACCTTTTTTATATTTTCAATTTTGTAAAAAAAATTATATAAATTTTATGAATTTAAATTTTTTAAAGAAAATATATAAATATTTTTTAACTTGTTAAAAAAGAAATATTTAATAAGGATAATTTGGTTAAATATACATTCCAATAATCTTTTATTCCTTTAACCAAACACGGTAATCTTACATTCTTGCTAAACCAACCAAGCACAAAATATAACATTTCCAATAATTTTTATTTCTTGGTAATCTTTTATTCACACTGGTAATCTAGCATTCCGTGAATCAAACGCACCCTAAGGTGTTTTGCAGTATTAAAAATTCTGGATGCATGGGTGAATATTATATTTTTTTCAGTTATTATTATTACTACCACTGCCACTATCCTTTCGCTCTTGTTTTTCGACCGTGACAGTTGGGTTGTTGTCACGCGTCTCTGCTTTTCGGTGATGACCATAATAGGTAGGATCGTGTGGTTGTATAATGTAACTAAAATACTTATTTGGTTGGATGTAATGCTTCGTATGATGCTGCTTTGCATTTCTCCTTAGAAAAATTCCATTTTTCTTTAATGTTGCATATCTGCTCAATCAGGTTTGTTCGTTTATTTCATTAGATAAGCTAAGCTCCTTGTTCGAATTTCTGGAGTTAGATCGATGGGCGACGGCTACCTGTGAGTCTAACAGCTTCAGAAGTAGATCATCGATCAGCATTTCAGTGGTCTACTGGTCTTGGTAGTTATACCCCATAGATACCAATCAACGGGTGGGGGATGGACAATGGCCGGTAGAACCAGTTGGTCCAAGCTCACCTTCGATCCAATCCATCCTTTGCCGTCAAACTTCTTTATGAATCTCTTGTTTACTTGTTCGAATTTCATTTGTTACCATCATCTTTAGAACCAAGAACTAAGTGCTCGGAAAAGGAAAATCCTTACTGAGTGATCTTCTCGGTTTTGATCCACAATAACACGAACTGAGATAGTCTCCGAGAATACTCTTGCTATCAGGATCAGTTAAAATATCATACACTGCACCTGGGGGAAACCCAACATCAAGTTTTGCCTTAAGGTTGCATAGAGAACCTTTTGGTACACTGACCTGCCAAGAATATAACATTGGCCTAATTCTTTGCGGATTGATAGATCCTTATGTCATCTTTAACTTCGCCTATATGAACGAAATATTGCTACTAAAGTTGATGTTTTTGATTGGTCTAGTGTCGAAAACTGTTCGAGACAAATGATGAACCTAGCCGAAATTTTGGGCCTTACAACCTCTTTTGAATACGCGTCGAATACATATGTTAATATTGGTACGTTACGCAAAATTGATAGTTCAGAAAACATAGCTCTTGAGAAGTAAACCCTTAATTGAATGAGCAGATGTGCAGGTTGGAGGCTGAACAGATTTGCAGATTTCTGTCACTTCTGGGAATATCTATGCTTCCTTCTTCCCCTTCCATCTCATCTGTTGAATCCGAAACATTAATAAAATCGTATTATCGATGACTAGAATACGCTAGGATGGACCTAGGTCCTAGGGAGAGCGAGTGGGTGCGGTCGCTCTCTTAAAAATATAAAATTATTATATATTTTAGATTTTCTTATGTATTTTCTATTAAAAATTTATTTTCGCCCCCCTAAAACTTTTATAAGCTCAAGTTCGTCCCTCTTGAAATTTTATAAGTTCAAAGTTTACCCCGCAACTTAAAATCCTGTGTCTGTCGCTGAGAATGTGTTTTCGTGAAGGCATTTCATATGTTGGAAGCAAAGTGTATTAACCAGTCAAACTTATTCATTGAATAATATAGCATAGAACACAAGTTTATTCATTAAAGTTAGATGTAAGCTTGTTATCCTATGGACAAAAGATTAAATTTTTCATCGTTCTGCAATTGCAGGTTTATTTCATGCCTATTTACAGACAATTATCAAAATAAAGGCATGGAATGCTTACACTTTCTAATAAACTGAAACATTCTACATTATTAGCAGATGAAAGGGGAAAAAAGGTGCAAGAAGTTAAATTATACGTGTAAGCCTGCAGCCGGATATGGGTTTCCGATTGTGGTCACAAAAGGCACCAGCCTTCTATATTCCCTCCGTCTCCCCAAGGCGCAGTTGTCGAGCACCCGCCCTAGGATCATCCGAGTGTTTTGCAAAGCCACCTCTCTAGGTGTCATACCCGACTCGGTGGCTGATATTGAACCTATCACGGAACCTGCTCCGAAAGCATACTGCAGAGGCCCGCCTCGAGCCTTGAAAGAGGTCTGCGGAGTTAGCAGCCTATCATCCGTCCCATTTTCGAACAGCCCGGGATCGTATGAGTACAAAGCAGTTAATGAACCACAACTCAGAAAAAGAGCTTCTAATACACTCAGTGCCTCCCAACACAGAGCGCTCTCCACTAGCTGGGATACAATGGCATACATGAAAGGGGCCTGAGCCGTGTCCATGGGAGTGTGCAGCAGCAATGCCTTGAGCAAGAGCAATATAACACGCTGATACTCGACCGGACCTCTCTCCAGTAGCCTTAGCAAGTGTCCGAAAGCCAGGGCTGAGTGCTTCGGGAACCATTCGTTGCATAACAATGGCGATACGCAGGCAAGGAGATTATCGATGCTTTTGATCTCACCTCTGGAGTAGGCCATAAACACGGTAGATAATTCTTCCAATGATTCCGCTTGACACCAAATCGAGATGTTGAAAGCAACAGAGTAGGCTTTGTGGTACTGCTGTTGGAGTGGAGAACCCGGTCCGACCAACGGGTATTTGCTGAGCTGCAAACAAATCCAGGGAAGTAACCCTGTAATGTGCATCAGCAGTCTTGTCTCGTGATCCCCGAAAATGGAATCACATGAGTGCACTGTGATGCGGGCGAGGACCTCAATTGCTACACTATGACTTACAGTGGACATAAGCCCTTTAAGTACAAGAGGCTGCACTCCTTCGAATGCTGGCAGATTGCCTCCGATTACTGGCAAGTCATAGACCCTAGAATCCATCCGCTGGAATTCACAAGTTTCGATATTAGTTAGCTCATCCCGAGGCATGCTGGAAAGGAGAACATTTTCAACCGTTCTGTCCCTAAACGATAAACGATCAATCACACGTGAGAAAAGCTCGAGGACCTGGCAGTAGATGTGAATGAAATCTGTGTGCATCATTGCCACACAACCCCAAAAGAGTTGTGGGTAGAGTATCACCTTTTCTGGCTCCATGTTCTCAACCATTACCTGCAGTGTCAGTAAAATCTCCATAATGAAGCCCAGGACATGAGGTACCGGATTTCCCAAGCATCTATGTAGACAACGAAGGAGTAATACACACGTATCACTCGTCACACTAGGTCGTAATGCACGATATATCTGATGAGAACGGCAGGCAAGATGTCTGGAAGTGCACTCCATAGCCCATTTGAGCGCCTCTACTCCCCAAGTCTCGCGAAGATCTCCTTGGAAGAAGATTGCATCAACCATACTCTCAACAAGGGCAGACAAAAGTGAAGCACTAGGAAGCTCGGTCCTCGTAACCGTCGAGTCCTCATTCTCCCACATCATGCTCCCTCGCTTTGACTGAACATACTTGATCAGATTAACAACCTGCTGTCTGTTCTCTCCATCGTGGTTTTCAACCTCATACATCTCCAAATGCCTACCCGCAAGAGAGTATAGTAGATTAACAAGCAAATGCTGGCAGTGCTCCAATACAATATCCTCAGAGCTATCCATTGAAACAAATGTGACATGAAACAGCAGAGGCAAGTGCTCGCGGAAGTCTTCATCGTTCTCATATGCAATTTCTGCAAGTAGAATCAGTGCTATATCTGCACGAGTCATTGAGTGCTGCTGGTTCCCTTGCAAAGCTGATTGGAGTTCTTTAGCATTGACACCAAGCATACCAACCCCAGTGTGCATTATCTCTTCAACGGAATTTGGAGTGTCGATTAGGTAATCTCCACTATCCCTGGAAGCATGGCGGCTTCGTAAACTTCCCGTGGAATTCCGAACTCCTCCTAAAGGCCCTGGCATGTTTACCAATCCTGGAAGGAGCTGAGCTGACCTGCCTGCACTTCCTGGAACAATGCCTAGTTCAGGAGGCATGGGAATTAGTGGGCTTGAGGAATTTCGTCCTGCAACTCCAGGTGGACGCCAGTTCAGGTTTCCGGTAGAATTTCTTAACGGACCATCAAAAGAACCACGGACGAGTAACGGAGACATATGTGGCAGGCTGTCTGCAAAAGATGCAATCTGGACAGCTGCAGGCCCCTGAGAGAACTCCAAGATAAGATTTCCATTGCCATCAGCCCGGTTTGCAACTGGTCGAATCGGTTCAATGCTATCTTCCAGCATCCGCTGAGACAGCTGATAAACTAGATGATCAATAGTCCGTTGTGGACATATACGTGCTAGATACAAACTTACTCGCTTGGCAACCGAGAAATACGCGGCAAAAGCACCACTTATTTCAGCAGAGGCGTTTGAATCACAATCCTCAATTCCTTTTGTAATCAAGAAATCTAAAATCGGGCTAATGTTCCGGGGCTTGCTGGCAATTGTGCTCCAGAGTTTCTCGATTTCATTAGGAAACTGATCACCATGCCTCCATGTCACATAGTAAAGACTTTTTAATAATCTTTCACTCCAACCCGAGTCCTTGAGTTTCCAAAAATTCAGATTCTCAATCCATGGAGCCATACACGTTAACACCTGATGCTGAGCGATTATATCGACAGCGTCAAGTTGTCTCTGCATGATCTCTTCACAGAGAAGTTGGCTCAACTCAGGGTGGTCTTTGGCTAATTTGCATGAGAGCTTGTACTGGAACTGTTGGTACGAATCAGGGAGATTACCAACGACAGCAGCTCGATAGCTACCTGATCCTTCGATGCCATCTTCAGCCCATTCACGTACCGAGAGTGTTTCAAGCATCTGAAGGGCATCATCACGGATTTGTCTAGATGGATCCACTACCTTGTAGAGGATTAGACTCAAGAGCCTTTGAGTTTGACAATTCGGTATCTCTTGTCGCATGTAGACCTCGGCCAGTACGCTGAAGTAACCATCAGCTATAGCAGGATCAGAGAAATAGCACTGAAAATCATGAAGTGAAATGATTAAAATACATAAATATAGGCCTATAGGATGATGCTGCAGTCCATGAACATAAGAGAAATGTGCTTAATATAAAGGTGCATAATACAAAGTGACATACCTTATCAATGCAAGAAGGAAAGAGATCCAAATTATTAAGAAGAAGATTTTTCAAAGCTAATTTGGCTAGAGCAACACGATGATGGCCACTTTTATTCCGATCACGAAACGCAGTTCCGCGCCCATCTCCTGTGTATTTGGAATAAGATGGAGTTCTCAGGTCAGGCGAGTAGCCATATGGGGCCTTGGCTGAAGGCTCATTGAACAAACTATTAATCCAAAATACAACTCTGCCGCTCATTTTTCTAGCATTGTCATCAAAACAAGGACCATAGAGTAGTGAAGCCATAGCAGTCATAGAGGCCCACTGGATTACCTCTATTTGTTCAGTTGATTCTCTGTCGAACGAAATTCTGTCCGAAGAATCTTTCGACCTGTGTTGCAAAGCCTTGTTTCGATCATCACGTCTATAGTCACTAACACCATCTTTTCCCCATGAACTTCCCGTTTCATCACACCAGGATAAAAGAAGATCAAATAGTTTCCTCCTGTGTCTAACATCGAACCGCTCTGCTTTCGAGTCCACGATTTCGGGGGATAGAGATCTTAAAACAGAAGCCAGTGCATAGCGAAGTGGTAGCGTTTCTAGAACACTATCAGCCGATGCCGGTGTAATCTGTTTAGCTGTGTCCTCGATAAACCTGAGATAATGGCGACGAAACACAGGCTTTCGCCCCAAGAATCCCGGCCAGATGTTCTCGGCAACGGTGCGATAAATATTGGCGATATGAACCCGAAGATCCTCACGGCGAGTCTGTTTTTGACTCTGCAGCACAAAACTAGCAGTCAGCACAACTGTTCCATGAACTAGAATTATCCTTTTAGCACACAAAGCACATACCTTCCACTTTGGCTTTCCTTCAGTTTCAGAAGAAACCTCCTCAACAAAAGATGTGAGTTCACTAAACATTATCTCACAACATTCCAAGTGTGAGTGCCCAAGAGCCATGGTGGCAGAATGCTACATTGTACATGAAAACAAATCAATTTGAGCTTCAAGCATAGAATCATATAGAGTAGTAACGATAGCGCTATAGATCGCAAGATGCAATCATCATACAACATCGTAACCCGTCGTGCCCCTGAGCTACACACATCGACCGGAGAAAGAAAATTTGTTTCGGGTTCGAGTTAACACCTGCAAGCATGTTACTTACAATGTTTGCTTCTGATCCGGATTTCAGAGACGGGAAAATAAGATGGTAAACTTCTCTTGTTGCAACTATGCTTCCAGCTTCCTTACTATCCGGTGGACATGAACAAACAAACATAGCATACATGAGCCACTGGTCCAGTTTGTTATCTACATCTTGTGACTGATGTGCTTTTCCACCTAGCTCGGCAGGCGTAATATGAGCGAGACGCTGCAAAACTTCCACCCTGCTGAGTGAAAGCGGATTAGAAAATTTGTGATGATATTACCTACCAACAGGACATCCAATCAGTTCATAGTTATTGATCGTACTTTGCGTCTTGAACTGAGCTTGGGCAAATTTCAGCTGCATACTTCACAAGCTCACTAAGACACCTCGCCCACCTGTTCTTATCAGGACTCTCGAATATTATCGACTGAAGAGTCACATCGGGAGGAATTGCATCAGATTCTCGCTTGTAATCAAACAGACGACCGGAATCCCAGTAACAGCTCTGAACTATGTCATCCTGCAAATATGTTGTTAAAGTTCAGAAATAGTACCTCATAGAGATATACTAAATGGTAAGTAGCATACAGGAGATGATAGGCTAAATATATCCCACCCCATGTTCTTCCAGCACATCAATTATAAATATTGGTTCGACTTCATATCTCCTAGTATGATCTGGCTGATCAAAAAGTGAAAGGTCCCGTATCTCGTTCCTTAAGGAGCGTGCACAGCGCAATAACTCCAACGCCGTGTGACGGATCTGTGTATCCACAGAGCTAAGGAAGATAAGACCAACTGCATCTATCTCCGATGCATGAAACTCCAGAGCTTCCCCTTGTTGATGGAAAGAAGACTTCTTGAATCCACAATTGTGCCGCACTAACCTCTTTGCATCATTAGCATCTAGTTCCAATCTATCATCAATCAGGCAAGCTCTCCAAAACTGCATAAGGTCCAACAATCGCCCCAGCGATGTTTGAATCAGAAGAGGGAAGTCATCAGGTAGTCGTAGGATGAAGTTGGCCATCCCTCGGATAACTGCAAAGCGACGATGAGGAAGGAACCGAACAATCCGGTTCAGCGCCTGAACGGCTTCCTCTCGAACACCGGGATCGATGCTTATCCCATGTTGAGGGATTATCTCAGTTATCTTATCATTTCGGCCAACTTCTTCAATCAAGTAAGGTATACACTTGAGCGCTGACCGGAACAAGTAGCCTTGAGACTTCTCCTTGGATACAGCATCTGGAAAGCATAGAATTCATGGGGCAAGAGCCATTGCAATCCAGATAAATAGAAGTAAAAAATGGAAGCCTAGCATTCATAGCAGCAAAGAATCTTGAAGCAAATGTTTTATGAAGTAAATGTTTGAAGAAACCAATTTAGTCAGTTAAATACTGGTTTTAAAATCAATGAGGTTTAGTAGAAGGAATTTACCTATTGTGGTCCTTGAAGAAGTCAGAAGAGCCTGGCTATATGTCCTATGGCAAGACCTTACTATTGACTCAATTGCAGCCTTGATTTTTGGTATGTAGTGGGCAATATCATGACCTGCTCACACAACATAAATGAGCTACTTATTGGTATGATAATACAACAATTAGTTTCATAGTAAAAGTCACTATTATGTCAAAATGAGCTATTATTCATTTTGATGGAAATTGTTAATTAAATAATGGTGAAGGTAAGACATAATATTTTTATATGTATGTAATTACTAATGTGTTGTATGTCATATATCTTGGATGATATTGCACATATCACGTCATCCACTTAGATAATGTGACGAATACCACATCATCATCATCTTGAGTAACGTGGCATGTCATGTTATCACCTAAGTAGATGATATGGTACGTGCCATGTCATCCAAGATGATTGTGGTGACGGATCCAGAAATATTTTTCTGGGTGGACATACATATGTTAATATCACAAAAAATTTAAATGTGTAGACATCATTAATAAAATAAGTAACTAACCGAAGAAAATTTAGATTTCGTGTGTATGAGTGCATATGCATCCGCCACTAGTGACATAACATATATCATATCATTACATTAGATAAAATGAATTATTTCACGTATCATTTTGAATGACATGTCACATATCACATCATCATTTTAAGTTATATATAATATGTGACACATCAGCAGTTTAGTCAATATTTAATTCTCATTCATATTAGAAACTAAAATGCTAAAAAAATAGTGACTAAAATCACCATTTGAGTAAATTATGCCTGAAACTTATCAATTACCTTTAAATATTTCCAAGCCAACATACTGGGTTGAAGGTGACAACACAATGGCAAGCAAAGCACGTAAACCGATAACCTTAGCTTCACTTAGACTATCCTGCTTCAGCAATTCTAAGATCATATGATTCATGGAAAAATCAAGGTTATGTTCTGCTATAGTCACACAGAATTCCACAAGCTTATCATGCTGCACATCCTGATTTAGCATCCCTTTCCTCAAAATCGTTAACAATTGAGATGTTACACTATCGAGGTAATCCCATATCCGATTTGGAGGTTGATTAGCTGCGTAAACATTCAAGTAGAATCTCAACACTCTGTGAAGACAGTCCAAAGACATGAACCGATGATTCTTGTCCTGCGTAAACAGCACCGGATAATTCGTTACGAGGACGG